TCATTAAGATTCGCAATAATATTTCAATCTGCTTACGTAATCGGAGCATTTCCAGTGCAGTAACGGCAGCCAACGCTCTTAATGAGAATTTCATAGGGGGACTTATTAACCACGATGAGGGATATAGAGTTCTTCGAGATAATCGCTCGTCTCCAGCTCACTGGGAGAATGAAAAGAAAAAGGTTATGGCCATGATTCGTCAGTTCGGCCTGCTGACTTTTTTCATCACTCTGTCTGCTGCTGAAACGCGGTGGCCAGACGTAGAAAAAAAACGTAGATAGAATCATAATTAGCGAAGAAGAGGCCATTGATTTAGTTTGGGACGAAAAGGCGCGTCTTATTAGGGCAGATCCAGTTACTTGTGCTAGGTATTTCGATTATAGGTATCGCGAGATTTTAAAAGTTATAAGGAGTCCAGAGGGAATTTTCGGAGAAAACTTTGTCATCACATTCTATTGGCGTGTTGAATTTCAACAGAGAGGTTCTCCCCATATTCACGGCATGTTTTGGCTGAAAGATGCCCCAGCAGTGGACTTAACCAGCACTGAGTCAATTTCAACAGTTGTTGCCTTCATTAATAAACATATTACAGTAGATATAACAGACTCAGAATTAGCTCAGTATGTTGAATACCAAAAGCATAAGCACACAAACAGGTCATGTCTTAAGACAGTTGGAAAAAGTGGAAACAAAGTTTGCAGATTCGGTATTCCATACCCTCCAATGCCCCAAACGAAGATATTGAGTCCATTGCTGGAGGAAACTCCAAACCTTGATTTTCACCAAGGAAATTTTAAGAAAATTAAAGACCTATTAAATTCTGATCAATCCCCTGATATGATTGATCACTTGAGCATATTTGAAAACATTCTTTCGCACGAACAAGTGAGCCTCAATTACGAGGACTACAAATATGCAATATGTTCTGGTTTGAAGAAACTAACCATTTTTCTAAAAAGGTCATTTGCTGAGATTAACATTAATTCTTATAAAAAACACATTCTTTCAATACAAAGGGCCAATATGGATATCCAATACATTTTGGACCCTTATGCGTGCTGTAGCTATATAATTACCTATATAAATAAATCCCAAAGGGGTATTTCAAAGCTTATGCGCGCGGAGGTAAGCGAAGTTCAAGGGGGCAATTACACGATCAGAGAAAAGCTACAGCACATTGGTCATAAATTTATTTCTGGCACTGAGATATCTGCTCAGGAAGCCGTATACTGTTGTCTAGGCATTCCGTTGTCCGGAACCAGCAATATAACAGTTTAATATAAACAAAGATAGGTTGAACTATTTTAGAGCACTAGTGATGCTGTTTTATCCGTGGAGAGATGAAGAGGCAGAGTAAGTGAGCAGGAATTGTGAGGATGATTATAGGGATCATCAGGTTTAATTAGTTAGTTCGAATTTCCAAAATACAATGCATTAGCAGATTTAGAAGACGTCCTTAGGAGGGACATGGAAGCTGAAGCCAATAGGGTTGAAAATGCAGGTGAGGCAGGTGATGAGGCAATTGATGAGGAATTTAGAGCTTTAGCGATTCCTGAAAAAGGTTCTCAAATAAATGTTCTAAACTTGAATGACCAGGCAGCGGATCCAGATAGGAGTATTCGATTAATTAAGCTTCCCACGTTTGTTTCCCTTACTGATTTAGCCAATATGATTAGATCGCTTAATTTAAAGCAAACAACTTATCTCACACATGTTCTTCATAATGTGAGAGATAAGGCACTTTTTTATGAGTTTGTTGGTGGCGACGCAGGCGTCGGCAAGAGTAGAACAATATCTACTAATTTTCAGACCATTTCTCAGGAGCTTAATCGTATACCAGGATGTGACCCAAATACTGTAAAAGTACTTCTGTGTGCTCCCACAGGAAAAGCTGCATTTGGTATTAGAGGTGCCACACTTCACTCAATGTTTTTATTACCCCTCAATCAATCCAACCATGCATTTAAACAATTGGGTCCAGATTTATTAAATACCTTGCGTTCAAGATTTATTGATCTTAAACTTCTTATAACACTAGTCAACACGATTTTTCCTCAAGGAACAAATCGAACTTTTTCTTAAAGATTTGGGGCTTAGAAATGGTTTGATAATATTTTTTTTTTTTCTATGGCAGAACTTTTTTTTGAAGAATTTTTGAAAACTGGTATTTTTTTTTAAAGCTTTTTTCAAAAGTAGCGCTTGTTTTTTCACATAGCTCTAGTATCTTACGTCTGGTTGCAAAGAACTTTGCTATTTTGAAAAGATAATTAAAACAGCTAGAAGTTAAGCCGAAACACTTTGTGATTACAGCCTACCGTCTGGGAAATATAAAGCATTGAAATGCAAAAATGATGATTTTTGTACGGTATTTTTTACGAAATTTTGACTTTAAAAACTCAGGAAAAGTCGAAAAAATTATATCCTGTGTTTTATATTTTTTTGTGTATAGGTGCATTAATTTGGGCCACCAGTGCGAATGGACTTTATATCGTTGGGCCTTTCATTCCCCCGAAACCCAAGCAGAACCTACTTCGATTGTTTACTCAATCCGTCCGAATTTAATATATTCTTCCATAATACGGAAAACTTGCACTGCCATTTTAGCGATGTCTCTTCTGATGAGCTAATGCTTAATCTTCTATTTTGTGCTTCGTTGAGGCTTCCACTTACTCAAATGAAGCTTATAATATTCCTGGCTATTCCACAGCAGTGCGGTTAGATTGCCAGTCCGTAGCCAGCGGAGCTAGACCGAAAAGAGGCATTCTAATATTTATTAGGAATGATCTTTTAGATCACTTTAGTTGTGTTGAAAGTAATCGATTTTATGCTGTTTCCGGAAACTTAGCATCTCCAGTGTTTTGACTGGGCGTTTTCTAACATTTCCGATAGCAGGGCCTCCGCACGCACCCTTGAGACTGTGTATAGTTATCATAGTGGAATTTTAGTTAATTTTTGGGAGGCAGCAGATTAGATTTTTTTTAGTTAGCAGGCATTAGTGTAAATATTTTATTTTTTGTATATTTAAGCGTAATATTAATTAGTACTTTAGTTCTGTTTTTAATTCTTTAATTTGTTTAAGGTTTTTTATTTTTATTCGTATTATTTTGTTTAATTTTTTATTATTACATTTTTTTTACGTATTTTTATCTTATTTTATTTTTAGCAAAGGATTGGATCCTTTTTTTAAATTTTTGGGGGAATATGGAGCTCAAAATGCTTTTAAAAGCAGCTCAAGTCGACTCGTAGGTCCCCAAGATTATGTTTTGGCTAGTGTGACCCCATTGCTTCGCGATGGCCTCCCCGCGGTGTTCCCTGGGTACCAATTAAATATATATGAGTTGTATTAAATATATATTAATATATTAAATTGGTAGCTAATTCGAGCGGCGCTTATAAAATATATAGTATAGGTTAAATACTTAAATTATAAGCTACATATATACTGCCTGAGTACGGGTATAAAAGTAGAGTCGCGTCCACAGAAGCGACTCACACGTTCCTTCTCTTTAAAATTAAACGTTTCGGGATAGGAATAATATTGGTAGAGTGGAAGTGGGTATCTTGAATGGAAAGTGTTCTAGGGTTGTTTATTTTTATAAATATTTTTAGGTCATTATTTTTATTGAGGTATCCATTTACGTTTAGTTGTAATATTTTTAGCATGTTAAGAATAAGAATATAGGGTAAAGCTATCTTATAACTAGACTAATTAGGTTGAAGCGGTTTTTATTACTAAAGATATTTCTAAGAATTATATAGGTCGAGTTCTTTATCTGTATTCGTTGTACTCCTGTAATTCCACTTATAATCGGATATCTTGTTCTTGGCTTTCTTTTTGGTTTTAGTTATTTGGTTGTTTTTTCCTTTTGGTTTCAGGTGAATTCCTAATTTATTTGATTTAGTTGTGAATAATTTAAGTTTTAGTTCGTCTGAGATTTCAGAGCGTGTTGAGTATTTTGATGTCCATGGGTTCTTCCGTGAAGTCTTTGTAGGTGATAATTTGTCTGGTAATAGGATTCGGTGTTGATGAGTTTGTTTTTGTGTGTGTGGTTGTTTCTATAACTGGTGATTTGTGCGCTTTCTGGGCGTAGGACATTGGTGGGTGAGTGACGAGTGTTGTAAATTAAGCAAGCTGTCTTGTGGTCCACTTTTTGAATGGTTTTAATGGCAATCAGTTATTTTTGTTTGATGAAGGCGGGGAATGATTTGTCCATTGCGTTGTGGTGTTTAATTTCGTCATCCTCGTATTTGCAGTTGATTCAGGGTTGTGTATTAGAGCATGGTTCATCCCCTTTTGTGTGTTCTTTTTCGGAGCAATGGGCGCATATTTTGGGGCGGAGGGATGTCCAAATCTAAGACAGTTGAAACATCTCATAGGAGGAGGGAAGTATGGTCGTATATTAAGTACTTTATATGTTATCCACAATTTGTGGACTTTTTTTCGTAAGTCGTTGCAGTAGATGACTCCTTTAGAGGTGTTAAGATTTTTGTGTTCATCGGCGCGGACTGGGAAGTCGTGAAATATTTTGAATTTTACGCAATTTCTGGGCTTGTAAAGTGTTTTTGGTTTTGAGGGTTCCCGATCTCGTTTTTTTACACGTTTCGATTTTTCCGTTACAGGCAAAATCTACCACTTTTTTGATAAGAAATGGGGATACGTTTTCAAATGTTTTATTGTCCGTTCTACTAATTATAATGTATTTTCATTTGTTATCATGTTAATCGTTGTCAAGGGTCGGTCGGCTGGTGGAGACATTGCAGTGTCGTTGGGCTCGGGTCCTGCAGCACGTAAGTTTGGTTAACTTATTCTTTGTGTTTGTTGTTTTTCTACGATCGGGTACGAAGTAGTCGCGAATTGATTGATCTATTTATAGATTGTATGCTGATAAGCTGTCGCTTGGAGCGTAGGTCAGTCGCACGTCTTTACTCTTTGAAGCTCAAAGTGAAACTGCTATTTCATTTTATTTTGTGTCATTCCGTAGAACAGAACATTTTTGTATGAAAAATTGTTTTCTACAAAAATAGCAATTTGTGTAAGTATATTTGTTGCTTTTGATTATCATTGTTTAATATCTATGAGTTCCTAAACATTAAATGCATTTAGTAAGCAGCGAAGCGCGCGGACATAGTAGTCGTGTAAATAAATACGCGTCGGGGGCGTGTTCGAGGCCGAAACATCGAAAGTGAAAAATAAAATCCCGCAGCATCAAAAGTACTAAGTGAAGTGGAGGTTGGCAAATTGGAAAGAAAAGCCTGGCAGCAAATTAAAACAGGTTGTTTAAAAAAAAGAGAAACACGAAACAAAAAAAAATAATCCTCGAAATACACATTTTTTGTTGCCCATTATACGACGTCAGTGCCAACGAGCAGTATTGATTATTGCATCAAGAACAGCTTCAATAACGACACCAGCAGCAGCACCAAACAGCAGCAGCACCAAACAGCAGCAGCGAAATAAGCAGCGGGAACTACAGCAGAAGCGACATTAGCAGCGGCAACAATACCAGCGGACACAGTGACATCAGCAGCGGCAACAGCGTCAGTAGCGGTAACAACAGAAGTGTCAACAGTGACATCAGTAGCGGTGGAAAAAAGCACAGCAGCGGCAGCACCAGAAAGAAGCGGCAGCGGCAGCAGTATCATAAACAGCAGAAGAAGATTCCTCAGTTAATTTGAACTTAAGAAAGTAAAAGATGTTGTCGGAAAAAAGTATTCAATTGTTAGGCACAGATAAGAAGGATTGAAGCTGGCCATTTGACCAGTGTCGTAATCCAAAGGCTAGGAGAGCTAAAAATGAGTTTACAGCTAATCATGCTACTTACATCACCTATGCTGTAGTCGATCATGACTACTTTACGAAAAATAAATTTGAAAAAATTGTAATAAACATTCAGGACATACAGAATAGCTATGATCTGTTAAAGTCTACTGGAGCCTTATCGGAAGGGACAGTAGAAATGGCAAAGTTAGATCCAGTAGGGACTGGAACTTTGAAGAGAGATACAGTGCCAAGAATAACCGATAGTCTTTAAAAAAAAATTGTTGATGAGTTCGACAAATAAATAGACCAGCTGAGAGCTTGTATAGAAGAAACTACTTGGAGAGTAGATCAGGCTGGCTTGCTTGAGTGCCAGCGTAGGAAAAATACAATAGCATTCCTCTCAAACAGACTTAATCAGAAGATTGGGGATTATGACTTATGCTACAAATCCCAGCTTTGACGAGCAGATCGTCGAGTTAGAATTCGAATTTCAGGGTATGTAAGACACCTTAGAAGATAGGGCGCAGGCCATAACTAATGAAAAAAATAACATTAGTAAACTGGTAGATTCTTAGGTAGATATAGATTTTAGGTCTTCTACGAGATTTCGGCAGCGACTGAGGATGGTACGTTGCCACTCTTTTCTCACGTTGCAACTGAGTCCGCGTCTCCTATCGATATCTTAGGGTAGAGACAGAGAATTAATGGTGTTCCCGCTCTGGTGTTCCTTGGCACTACCCTATCACTACCGCATCCCACATTTGTCCCTCCTGACGCCGGACCCGAAGTCTTTAATATATTCCGCAACTGTCGATGTTTTGAACGACCCTTCCCTTCTCCTTCTCCGACCCTTTCAACTGCGTATCGGCCATGGTTATTAACTTTCACTATTTTGTCCTTCAATTTTAAGCCAGTCTCACACTTTATGCGCTTAATGGCTACCAACTCATTGATCTTATACTTCTTTTTTACCTTTTTTTGGCATCGAAAGCTCGCTTATGTTCAGCTTGCATATACTGAATATTCTCTCTTGCTTCCTTTCTCAAGCCATCACGCTCATCATCTAATTCTGAAATCAGACAGACGTGTATCAATTCTCTGAGCTGCACATTACCTGAAACACGCATATCTAAGCCAGTTATCAGTTTAAATGGCGACACTTTGGTACTCCTCGGCTCGGTATTATTTATGATCTATTGTATCTTACCTACATGCTTATACCAGCATCCTGGACTTTCATGACTTTCTTTAGATAGCATTGGGACAACTATTTTATGGATACGCTCGACCTGTCCATTTCCCCTAGGTACGCCTTTTGCAATTAGCAAATGTTGAATCTTCTCCCTATCTGAAACGATTCTGTACGTGTTTCCAAAGCAAACAGCCTGACGCTCCAAACAACTAATAACTTCTTCAACCCCTGTGCTCCAAGTAGAATACAATCACACGTACTTAGAAAAGCCATTCACAATCACGAAAAAGTGATTATATCGTTTTTTCGTTAACTCCATCGGGCCAATATGATCACTATGGTAGGTAACCAGCGGCTTATCCCCCTTGTCTATCGGTGTGAGGAACCCTTCTAGCCTACCTGCCTTTGAATTTACCAGAATGCATTCTACGCAGCTATCCACTACTCGCGCTACTTTCTCCTTGAGCTCCTTGAGCTTCACGATCAAATCTTGCTGGTGGTTGATTTAAATGTTATCATTTTACATGAGCAACAACCCCTTATTGGGATCTTTGAACAGAACTTGGTTCAATATGTAGAAATCTACATACCCTTTGGACTCGACAACACTTTTGCCCACCTTCGTCCATTCATCTAACAGCTGTACCTCCCTCAAACGATGTAGAAATCTACACTAGTCAACACGACAATTAGACAATTTTAAAATCTGGTATTTTTTTAATGTTTTTTTTTTTCAGAGGTAGTGCTTTTATTTTTCACATAACTTAAGTATCTAAGATCTGGTTGCATATAACTTTGCAGTTCTGAAAAGCTGACAAATGCAGCTATAAATCGAAGATATTAGAAAAAGTCATTTTGGTTCACAGCCTAAATAAAAAGTTCAATTTTGTTGAGTAGTGTAATTGAAGATTTATGTAAAAACTTAAATATTCAAACCATAACATCCACAGCACATCATCACCAAACTGTAGGAACCGTGGAGCTAAGCCACAGGACATTTAATGAGATATAGAGAGTCTTCGTTATATAGGGGTCGTCAAATTCCTTTGACCACCTCTTTATAAACCCAAGCATGCCCATGGCCTTATTTACCATGGTAGAAATGTGTTCAGAAAACTTTAACTTGGGGTCTTGGGGTTCATCGCCCATGCTGTTAATAAGAAGGAAACATATCAAACAATGGCTAAATTGCACCAGTGGAAGGTCGCGTGTGACTTAATAGTCGTAACCATGTTAACGGGGTTTAAAGGTGGTTACACAAAACACTGCTGTTTCCTGTGCCTATGGGATAGTAGAGCTAGAACTGAGCATTACTCAAGAAAACTCTGGCCAAAACGGGGGGAAACTACATTGGAAAATTACAACATAGAAAATGCAGCTCTCGTGAAGTTTGAAGACGTTATTTCACCACCATTAAGCTGGGACTAATGAAAAATTTTGTTAAAGCACTGGATAAGAAAGGTGAATCGACGAGTTACCTAAAAACTGTTTTTCCACGTCTGGCGCTGGTAAAAGTGAAAGAAAAAGTCGTATTTGATGGGCCCCAAATTCGAAAACCACTAAAAGATTATGGATTTGAAAATATTTTATCTACGAATGAAAAAGCAGCCTGGAACTCATTCCGACTGGTTACAACAGTCGTAACAGCAAGAGTGATGATTACGTTAATATCGTTCAGTGTAAATAACATCCGTCTGCAAGTTACCTTGAAAGCCATTAATGATAAAAGAGGTAAACTCTAATGAATTTGTGGTTGTTGATCGCCGCCTTATAAATCCGTGTTGAGATGGAGATATAAGTGATTTGCAGAGATGTTGCAAATGCGGAGCTACAATTTTTTCAAACACTTTAGGAATAGCGATGACTTAGATATACCTCTATAATTATTTGCATCAGACTTGCTACGTTTCTTATGGAGCGAAATAATAAAAGATTCCTTCCATATTGGGGGAAGCATGAAGATTTAATGGATAGGGTGAATAGTTTAAGCAGTGGTCCACACAGAGCGTAGGCAGAGTACCTGAGTACACAGCCGGGAACTCCGTCAGGACCTGGTGAAAACACCGGCTTAACTAGTCGAAGATCATGAAGCAGTGAACTTTCATTTAACAAGGGGCTGAAAATGCCGTTCGACCTTGGTAAACTGTATTTATACGGCTGACCAGAGTAGCTTTCATGAGAATAGGTTGTTTGAAAAATGTGACAAAAAGATCGGCAATTGCCTGATCATTGTGTGCTGACATATTGAGAAACGATAGCGAGTATGGATGTGCGGACGTTCTGCGCTTACTATTTACGAAGCTGTAAAGCTGTTTAGGGTCCTGTGAAAATCGTATCCTGCATCGAGATAGGTAATTTTTATAGCATTGAGCGTTAAGAACGGAGAAATTTGATCGAGCTATTGCATAGCGAGAGAGAGAAGAGTGAGAACTAACTTCTCGATATTTTTAATAAAGTCTTGATTTTAAGTTTTTTAGACTGGTTAAATCTTTGGTAAACCAAGAAAGCTTTCCAGATCTAACCGGACAAAAAAGTGGGACAAAAGAATCAAAAAGTGTGTCAAGTACATTGTAAAAATGTTTGTGCTTTTCATAACGTCAGTGCACAAGTACAGAGCGGACCAATCAAAATCCCTAATGAGATTATTAAGCTTCGCAAACTCTTCTTTACGAAAGCAGCGGACACGATCAGATAGCCTACCCATTCGATCCAATACAGTAGGCCCAATATCGACCCACACTTCGAATGTGGGATGGTAGGAGTAGTAAGCGGAAGGGCTCGGGTTAACAACGCTATGGTTGGATCCGAGACACAGTTCAAGCAATCGACCCAAGGAATTTTTTACATGGTTGACTTGAGACAGGGATAGGTCTAACAATCCGTCGATAAGGTTATGTCGTGATATGGGCACAAGGTTATTAGACTCGTTTACCGAAGACCAAACAGTACCTGGCAAATTGATTTCTCAAATAACTATCATATGGTCTTTATCTTATAGCGTGGAAGAAACAGTTTTTAAAGCGGACAGGTGATTCTTGTATATTAATATATGCGAGGAAGGTGGAAGGGGAGAATCAGTTTTACGCTCAGGAATTAAAGGTCTTATTGAACCTGCACTTTGAAATTTTCCGAAGTGAAGTTTGGGTCCACTGCAATGAGGACCCCACCTCTACGTCGAGATGAACGGTCATTTCTAAAAATTGTGTACCGACCTGCCAAAACTTTTGAATTAAGGATGTCCGGCTTTAACCAGGTCTCGGGAAACACAATAACGAGGGACGAGAGTGCGCGACTCTCAAGAAAAAGAGTGCTGAGCTTACTAGCATCTAAAAGAGAGGAAGTTAGTTTTTTGGATGGGTAGTGGTAAAGGGGGTATGTGAGGGTGGAGATGGAGCACTGTTCTGACTACCAGGAAAAGTTATGGGGGCCCTTTTTATTGTTCAGCCTTAAACTCTTTAACCACCAAATGCTCCGGCCAAAACTTGCGGAAAGGAAGATATCTCCCTGGCTTAAGAAAAGTTAAATTTTTCCAACTTTAAGCCGACGGCTTTTATTTCGCTTTGTATAAAAGCGGTTAAATCATTGGATGTGAGGTCAAGGGCTAGCCGCGAGACAAAAACTTGTCGCTTTGGTGGGACTCCCACCAGTGGGTTTGGCACCACAGGCCTAGTACCTGTGATGGCAGTATCCGGGGGTCCTGAACATCTATTAGCTGGTGGGAGCAAAACTGATGCGATAGTTAAGGAGTTGGGTGCGGACTCGACGGACACGGACGCTACTGAGTAAGTTTTTCGGAAGCCGGCGGATATAAGGCAGTCGGCACTTGCAAGTCCCGCGGAGTAGACTTCTTGCGCTTTGGAGACTCAGCCAGCGGCTGTAAACTGAACCTCCTACACGGCCCAAGATCCCAACACACTTTGCGAGCAAGG